TTTTTTTTTTTTTTTTTTTTTTTTTTTTTTTTTTTTTTTGTCGCTAACCTATTTTCTATTAATTAATAATAATAAATCACGATCCAAAATGGAAGTGATCAAAGATTAAAATAAACGAATTATTTTTCCTTCTTCGTTATTTTATTTTTTTTAGAATGTGAGATGACTTGGGGATGCACGATGAACCGTCCATTATTATTTATTATTTATTATTTTATTTTAATTTATTGAAAGATGAACCGTCAATTGTTTTGTCGTGAATCGCACGGAGATATTTTCTCGATCGTCTTAATTGCGGACTTTTTCGAATGTCTGACGTGTCTAAGTGAACGGCTAGGATTATTTTAGAATTTATTTAATTCCTATTTGTCTATTTTTAATTTTATTTTCATGAAATTCAATAATAAAATTCAGGTATTTTAATTGACCAAAATTAAAATATGTGAAACTACAAATGTTAATATTAAAATGATGAAACTAAATAATTAATATTGAGATTTATGTATTATTTTAGAAACATTAATTTATAATTAATTTCATATTAAAATTTATCATTAATTTGAAATAATGATGTAACAAATAATTTTAATTCAACAATCATATAAGAAATGTTTAACCTTTTTAAATTTTTTTATTAAATTAAATAAATTATTGAATTAGATCTATTTTACCATTAATATAAAATAGGTTTTCTATCTAATAAAGTGGATAATTTTGCATAAGGTATTCATTTAATATCCATTTTATTTTATTATATTGAAAATAGATTCTATATAAGATAGAATCTATTTTTAATATTTACACATTCTTTATTTATTGCATAAATATGTTATTAATTTCATGTTTTGTTTCCAAAGTTTCAATAAATTAAAAAGAATTAAAATAGTTAACTTATTATTATTAAAAAATTAAAATAATTATAAATAATTAACCAACATTTCTTCTAAACATATTATTGTATAAATTGATTTTTGGAAGATGAAACTGGGATTGATTGTAGAGGATCAAAACCCCAAAGTAAAGATATTTTTAGGACAACCCAAGGAATATAAGTTGGTGAAGGCGATCACAATTTCCAACCGTCCACGTGTCGTTGTGCAAGTTAATGACGTGGACAGAGTAGAGATATTCCAGTGCAATGCAAATGCAAAATTATTCAATAAATGCGCACAGATTAAAAGGCCTATCATTTCGGCGCGTGGCTATCAAGGGCTATCTAGATCCTCACATATATCCTAAATGCAATAAAGATGAACCAAACTACTTAACCACAATTAACATCACTACGATTAAGTTATCGAACATAGAGTCACGAGTGAATTATGGACCAATTTGCAGATCGAGCGAGCTTTCCTTGCATGCAATGATGTGGTGGTGAACCTCTCATTCTAATCCAGTGCTCTTAGAATCGTGTGGAAAGGCTGCCCATCACAAAAATCTCATTCTCATTGTTAGATGGACACGACTCTCCATAATGATATGACATTGTCTACTTCGCGTGAGCTCTCATGGCTTTGTTTTAGGTTTTCCCAAAAGGCCTTGTACCAATGGAGAGAGTATTCTTTGTTTATAAACTCATGATCATTCTCTAAATTAGCCGATGTGGGACTTTTATCATCCAACACCCATCATCATCCACAAAGATGGGAACACACGAACCCAAACAATCCTTGCCGAGAACTCGTTCAAGCACGCAACAAAGGAATTAATCCGACATTAGTTAGAATATACGAGAAACAAACAACACATGAGTCAGACTAAAAAAGCTTCAAAATCCATTTAGAATAGAGATTTCCCATGTCATTACAGCTATGAAAGGGTTTTTGCTTGCAATGAACTTTGCCTAATGCCCTTTGCCGCTTTCAATATATTACATAAGAACAGTTCACAAGACACCAATTAAAGCTAAGAATCACTAGTTTATGCAAGTTTTTAGTTGACCTCACCAGTAGCTAATGCCATACTGTATTTGTATTTCAGATAAGCTTTGATGAAGGGCTCCAATTCACCATCCATCACGGAGACAATGTCTGATGTCTCATGTCCTGTCCGAACATCTTTCACTAGCTTGTATGGATGAAACACATAGTTCCTTATTTGCTGACCCCATTCGGCCTTTACGGCGTCTCCACGTATTTGCTTGATTTCGGATGCACGTTGCTCCTCGGCTATGACTAACAGCTTGGCTTTCAACCTGCTTAACGCCTTGATCTTGTTTGCTAGCTGTGATCTTTCCTCTGTATTATAGTTCAGAGAAAGATGAAATGCCATTAATTCAGAGATTTGTTCATAACTTATCAAGAAATATACAAACGAATTTGAGAAGAAATGTTTGATTCAATCAAAACTTGTCACCAGCCAGGTTGAATTATTAAAACCATGCAACATGGAAAAGTCTGAAAGGTTTGTTTGTCAAATTAAAACATATATGGCCCACCCAGTATGAATGGTTCCAGGTTGCCTACATCAATCTTAAACAGAAAACTTCAAACATGCAGATTAAACTACTTAATCAATTGGTTCGATCAGTACTTAAAGTGGACGATTCTGCTATAAGCGATGATCGAGGACACGGTCCTATTAACCCTTACGAAGAGAACAGACATCAAGTTGATATGGTGCCATAAACAAGGACAGTTAAATTAGGATAGAAAACCTGTGCAGCGAACCGTGACGCCTGTGGGGATATGAGTGATGCGTACAGCCGTTTCGACCTTGTTAACATTTTGACCTCCTTTTCCGCCTGCCCTTGAAAAACTTATTTCCAGGTCCTCTTCTGGTATTTCAACATCCATGGACTCATCAGGAAGGAGAGGCATGACTTCCACACCAGAAAAGCTCGTCTGCATAGATCTTATATTAAAACGGATAGGCTAAAGGGTCACTTAGTTTCACATAAATTAGAAGTCAGCGTAATAATGATTCTGGATTCTAATTTTCAGTTCATGAAAAATTTAAAGCATAACAGCGTTAGGTCCCTTCAATAGTTCATCTTTTCTTAGTATCTCCAAGCACCATTGATCTTCAGGTAGTGTTAAAATTACCTGTCGAAGTCCTTTAGAGTTAAACGGAGACTGTCGCACGATCCTGTGTGTTCCTTTCTCCCCGGATATATATCCGTAAGCATAACGACCTTCAATTTCAATTGTAGCTGATTTTATTCCGGCTTCCTCCCCAGCAGATTTCTCAACTACTCTTGTTTTGTATCTTTGCTTCTCTCCCCATCTCACATACATTCTCAGAAGCATGTCAGCCCAATCCTGCACTGGAGATTATCAAAAATTTAATATGGGGAAGGAATAAATTTGGTGAAAAACGTTGCAGTTTAAAATGGAAGACCAGAATATAATTCTTAGAAGCCGTTTAGAAGACAAAACCAAAAAATACTTTGAAAACAGTTGCCAAGATGAGCAATTAACTACTTACCTGTGCATCAGTACCCCCAGCTCCAGCCGAGATCGTGATGACAGCACCTTCTTTGTCATACGGACCCGAAAGAAGTTGAGTTAATTCAAATTGATCCAGTGCCTTGTTTAGGTCTTTAATGATACTAGCAGCCTCTTCAAGAAGCCCAGTATCTACAGAGTCCATCTCTTCAGTCAGTTTAACTATCGTTTCTGCTTCTTCAACCTGAATCAATCATAATACAGCCCACATCTGAGGTGATGATTTCATTCCCTTTTCAAAAGCTTGGTCACGCTATTGACCCAATGTTAAGGCTTAGTTTTAGTTTAATTTTCGTCAAATAGATTATTTCCAAGCACTACTATGACCATACGTAGAACATTGGGGCCTTAAGATCTAATATTGCAATTCCAATTGATATACAGGTTAAGCCATAGTGACGATATACTTGGGCGAACCTTGATTTTAACACAGCCCTCCAACAAACACTTGCATTTATGATTGCAAATGAATGATATTGAAGTTGATCTTCATTTTATCTGTAAGCACATGTAAGGGATGCCTACATGACATTAAAGATTTTTTGTTTTTCTGGATGAATACATCAATTTGAGAACAAGTAGAAGATATCTTCAAAAAATATTTAAATGGGGTAAGATATTAATAGGTTACATCTGTAGCAAGTTAAGCATGATTAACATATTTGCTTTAACTCGAGGGGAGTGATACGTGTATGTATATTGACGTAGATATCTTAGATCCAAGACTTAATTAATCATTTGTTCTTCATCTAAAATTTACCCTCTTTCAGTTTCGGGCACACATATACGTCTTTATATGTGACTTTATCCAACAAATTAGAGTATTCCTAAAAATCAGATTGCATGCTCTATACATTACCTGTGTTTTGAAGTCAGTAAGCATCTTTATTTTATCTTTCACGTCAGTTAGGGCCATGAGAACTTGTTGAGCTTTAGATCTGTCATCCCAGAAAGAGTTCTCAGCTGCCTTCGACTCCAAATCTGCAACTTCTTGATCCAACTGTAACAAACCAGCAGAGTTTCTTATCTCTTCCACACGCTCGGAGGCTGTTTCCACTTCTTTCCTTAAGGAGTAAAAATCTGCCAGCAACAACAAGCATGCATTATATCATTTCCATCGGATCGCAAACACCAGAATCCAAAAAGGATAAATGGGAATTAGAACAGCTTGTTGGGACAATAAACAGCTTGTTGGGTCTTAAAAATAGTCTCAGTAAATATTTTAAGGATGTTATTTAGTAGTTGCCGGTTTACAAGAACAAAAAATAATAAAAAGGCTTAAGAATTTTGTCGTTCAAGTGAAGATTCATATGGCAGACATTGACCACATTTGATGAATGTAATACAACTGGTAAGTCACTTATTCTTATGCCACCCTACCAAGATGTACCAATCATTCAAGAAACCATTGGCGCCTCATAGTGACCAAATTTTAATGCTCGTAGAAACCTGAAGATTGAAGTCAAAATATGACACAGATATTTATTTGATCAATTGGCCACTAAGAACAACTACAATATATCAGTTTTATGGAAGCTTGAATCATTGAAAGAAGTAAAAAAGCGCATTATATCATATTAATGAAGCTATTATCATCTTCCACGACCTTAGCTGAACCAAGACTAACTGAAAAACATGAACACAACACAGGCAGTTCAATAATTAGAACAGAACATCAAAAACACAGTATTTTCAATCTAAGAAAAGTAACATACCTTGCATCGCCCATTCTTGCGTATCAGAATCGACCTCCTCGCCCACCTGGCTCTCGGGCGTCGCAAATCGAACTGCTGGAAGAAACCAATAAGTTACAGAAACTAGAATCCGTTGCCAATACAAGGAACCTCAACAATTTGTAAGAAGATAAACGAGACCAAAAGCATACGAGGCGATCCAGAATAACTCAAAATCAATTCAATGAAGAAAAAAACATTAAAACAGAACTTGAATTCATTATGATAACGAGAAAGCACGACAAATTGAAAGAAATTGGGAATGAGATTAAAGGGGAGGAAATCTTCGAATCGACTCACCGAGAGAAGAACGAGAGTGAATAGAGAGAGAAGTGCGAAAGCGCGAAAGCGGAAATTGTAGCGGGCTCGAAGTTCTAGCGGTTTGAAGTCTGGGAAGTGGGAAAACGGGGGAGGTGCAGAGCCACAATGGCCGCTGAACAACGTCCATGGCTTCCTCTTCGTTTCACTTCTGCACAAACTCCTTCAGTAGATTACCCATACAATTTGGAGATAAACCCCCGCTAGTCCACGTCATCAGGTCTTGTCTCTCTCTCTCTTTCATTTCTACTCTATTTTTTAAAATACTCTAAAAATTCAAAAAATATTACTGTTATTAATTTTGGATTAAACTTTTAGTAGCATTTTAAAAATACCATTTAACTTAAATTTTTTTTACTAATATCATTTTATTTTAAAAAAAATTCAAAAATACATATTATGTTTTTCTTAATACTCGTCAAATTTTAAAAATAACAGTAACAATCTTCATAAAAAATTATTATCGTCGATATATAAACAAAAATTGTCTAACAACCTTTCATACTTATTTTTGTAGCACGAATGTGGAATATAAGTATTCGAAAATACTACTAGTATGAACTGCCCAACCTAAACCATTAAGGTTTGATTGAGTTATATTTTTTCTCTCGATTATGGGTTGAATTGAACTTCTGGAAAATAAAAAACTCGGGTCAGTTCACGAGTTGACCATTTTTTTTATCGGGTCAACTCGACTAACAAAACAAATTAGGTTATAGCCCAACCTAACCCAACACAACTCGTAAAATTATTATGAAAATTAAAAATATTTGACGTTTGTAACCGAGATTAGTAATGTATTGTGACTTGTGAATGTTTGATAGTTATTAATATAACATGTATGGTAAATAAGTAAAAAAGAACCACCCGACAACCCTCTCAGGTCCAACAAATTCCTCCTTCAACCTAGCCCAACCGGGATACATCCCTACCGGTCGAGTGAACGATACAACAAAAATATATATTTTTTAAAATGAAAACAAAAGTAAGACATAAATAAGATTTAAATATTTAATTAAATGTAAGACACAAATGAATTGCAGTAAAAAAATAAGGTCCAAATTTACCGTCCCCCATGTTTTGCTCTCTACCAAGGCCTAAAAAACGTGAGAGGTCAAACTTTTATCCCCACGATTTTCTCTCTCTAGAAATCAACGCGGTTTTAATTTGACTAAAAAAAAAGAACTATTTATAACCATTTATTTATTTCCTTTTATTTTGTTTTTTTTTATAATAATTTTAATATTGAGAAAGAAATTAGATCCAATGGGGAAGCGTTTTTTCAATCTTTTGGAAACTAAAATTACTCCAAATCCACCGTAACACCAACCAGGAATTCTCTCTCTCTAAACTTCCAACCTTCTGATCCGCAGGAGGGAAATTGCTCGGCTGTAAGAAGCTCTCGCCCTTCATACTCCGATTTGGAATTCTCGATCGAGTATTTTCTGAGAAACGCATTGGATTTGTTGGTGTTGTACTGGACGCCGTGGATTGGAGGGAAATCTTGAGGGATTTTTGGTTTTTTTTTTTGGTTTTTGTGAAGTCGTCTTGATCTCAATCTGGAAGTCATTGTCGGTAGGGGATTGGTTGATGCGAGTTTAGATTTCATGGTGGCGCTTGACCGCCATGGATGGTGGGGAGGCTGTGCTAGGGTTGTTGTTTTTGTTGTTGTTGAGTTGTCGTGGCCAACGATTACTACCTGAAGGAAGCTGCATAGAGGATGATGCAGCTTCACTTCTCGCCTAGCATGAGAAGCATCACGATCTCGACCAATAATGGCTTTATTGATTTCATGAAGATCAAGGTTGCAGCTCGCCATATCTCTTACCGAACCATTTTCCACACCTTCCTCCTCCTCGCATTTCTCTTGCCTTTTGTCTTTATCCTCACAGCCGTCGTTACCCTCGAAGGCGTCAATAAGTGCTCCTCGTTTGGTACTCTCCTTCTCTATTTCATTACGTTCTTGATCCTTTTTAAAACAAAATTTATACATTATTTTGGTTTACTTGTATTCGAATCTATGATTCAGATCTTAATGACTGATTATCGATGGTTCTTCAAGCCTACGTGATTTGTTTATGTGATTAGGGATTTGATTTTTCCATTTCGGCAGATTTGTGATAGCTCTTCGCTTTCCGTATGGTTTTGTTTGTGAAAACATCCAGACAACGCATTTCTAGATGTTTTTTAGTCTCAAGATCAAGACTATAATAGATATAACTCTATTTGAAATTATGTCTTCCAAGTTTCTTTTTCTTAATTTTCAATCGTTTTTCTTTTCCTGGATGCAAATGTACAACAATGCGCTGGAAAATCTTCATTTCCTTGATCTAGTTCGAAGCTCGATAGAAACTCAATTTAGGCATTCATGGAACTTTTTTTGGTTCCTAAACAAACACTTACAATCACTTTTTCTTCTTATAGCTGAAAATCTTGTTATTCTTTGTACATCTGGTCTGCGGATGGTCTGTGATTATTCTCATTTTCAATTGATAATTTTTAACTCTTAATGCTTCGTCTATGGTAGCTGTCTTCTCCTGTCCACCATCAATACTTAGTTTTTTTTACTTCATAAGATTGATTGAGGATTCATATTAATGTTTTTCTTTCCTCTGTTTTCAGATTGTTTAGGCAGGCGGTTAGGACCACGGCTTCTTGGTAGGGTTGACGGTTCAGGGGTAAATACTTCCTTTCATAATTGAATACAACAAATGTTTTGAATTTTATGTATGCTTCAGTCGGTTGTGTATGTTATTAACTTGAGATCTTTCCTCTTGGTCATGGTTAAATGTTGCTCCAGAGACTTGTCAGTGACTTTTACAAGATTCTCAATCAAGTTAAAACTGAAGAAATACCCGATGGGCTAAAGCTGCCAGATTCTTTCACTGAATTAGTTTCAGAAATGCAGAGTAACCAATATGATACAAAGACCTTTGCTATAATGTTAAAGGCAATGGTATGTATTGTGCTACAAATTCATATGCATATTGTAGGAAAAAGTTTTTTGTTACTTTTTTTGCCCTCGCTATGTTCTTTTTCTGCTGTAAATTTACTGTTATCCTATGAAACTATTACAACATTTCTATTTATTTAGGGTGGGCAACAGAGTAGAATGCTTTTCTCTTCCTCAGTTTAGATCCATGAATAATATTGTTAACCTTTATGGAATGATGTAATTGGAATGTCAAAACCTGATAAGTGGTAGCTTTTTCTGCTGTTGAACATGGTTCCATGACTTTTTTCTTTAACGTGGATATGGATCAGTGTAATGCATCCCTGTTGAAGTAACTTCTTTATGGAGCATTTGTTTTTATAATATGATTGTAACCCTTGCCCATTTTTTAAGTGAAAATAAAATTTTGTTCTTGTCTCTCTTACCATGTTTAAATGTTTTTTTTTTTGTACATATATGATCTGTCAGCATCACTCTAATGTGTATTTCATGCCTGAAATTGGAACTTTTGTATAGTCAATGTCTTCACATTACCATTTGTACATCCGTTCTCATTCACTAGATAAGTCTCGTTCTTGTTTCCTCCAGCTAACTTCTTTTCCACAGTGCTATGTAAACTCACATTTTTGTAATGAATGTTTGTAGAACTTTGATTGCTTTGACTTTTGTTCCCGACTTCTCTTTCCTGGAGTGTTGAGTGCTCATGTTTTATCTAGTTTTTGTTCTTTCTATGCATATATTTTATTCATAAGAGGTCCTTCCTGATTTCTTCTGAAAAAGAAAAAACATTCATTACATTTTTTAACTCATTCTTTTGTAATTTATCTATGATTATCCTCTTATCTTCAAATTCTCTAGTTATTCATGCTTTATTCCCATTATTTTAATTTCAATAACTGTTAAGATTTATAAAAAAAATATCGTCCGTTTAATGGGTAAGGTTCTAAATTTTCCATTGGAAGTTGCCAATAAGTTCGAACAACGTCTTATTTTTTTGCTTTGGATATATTTCAGCTTCAGATTTCTGATTGAAACTGCAAACAAGGTGCTGCTTATCTAATATAATGCTTTTTGTTCTGCGTAGATGGAGAAATTTGAAAAGGACATTAGAGAATCTAAGTTTGCAGAGTTGATGCACAAGCACTTTGCTGCTAGCTCCATTCCAAAAGGCATCCACTGCCTATCTCTTCGTTTAACAGATGAATATTCGTCAAATGCTCATGCACGCAAACAATTGCCTTCTCCAGAGTTACTTCCTTTACTCTCGGATAACTCATATCACCATTTTATTTTGTCAACCGACAACATTTTGGCCGCTTCTGTTGTTGTTAATTCTGCTGTGCGGTCTTCTCTCAGACCTGAAAAGATAGTATTTCATGTCATTACTGACAAGAAAACTTATTCTGGTATGCACTCATGGTTTGCGCTAAATTCTATTGCACCTGCAATTGTTGAAGTTAAAGGCGTGCATCAGTTCGACTGGTTAACAAGAGAAAACATCCCAGTGCTTGAAGCTGTAGAAAACCAGAATGGGATAAGAAGTTACTACCATGGGAACCACATTGTTGGTGCGAATCTCAGTGATACAACTCCACGGATATTTGCTTCAAAATTGCAGGCTAGAAGTCCAAAATATATATCCTTACTAAACCATCTTCGCATTTATTTACCAGAGGTAATAGGCTACATCCTAGTTTTGGTATGCCAAGAAGATTAGTAATCTCTACTATGAATTTGTTCAACTTACAATTAGTTCTCTCCTCTTTTTCCCCATATAAACAATTAAACTCTGTAGCTGTGAATTGAAAAGGAATGCAAAACATGTTTAGGTTATATTATAGAAGTCCAGATAATATTATTTGCCTGCAATATGTAACTTTCATGTTTGAGGCTTAATTACTTTACATTCACTGTAAATTGCACAGCTCTTTCCAAACCTGGACAAGGTGGTCTTCTTAGATGATGATGTTGTGGTTCAGCGTGATTTGTCTCCCCTATGGGATATTGACCTTGAAGGAAAGGTAAATGGAGCTGTGGAAACTTGTAATGGTGATGATGAGTGGGTAATGTCAAAGCGATTCCGCAACTACTTTAATTTCTCCCATCCAATTATAGAAAGGCATTTAAATCCTGATGAATGTGCCTGGGCCTATGGGATGAATGTCTTTGATCTTCATGCTTGGAGAAGGACAAATATAAGGGAACTTTACCACTCATGGCTGAGAAAGGTAAAATACATTGCCTTTCTTTTATGGAAGCAGTTTTCTTTTGTATGAAATCATCCTGTCACCCTCATTCACTTTTGGCTTCAATCTTCTGGCTTCAATCTTCTGGACTAATTTTAATTTTTATATTGATTTAAGCGAGTGATAAAATGGTGATGCTATTGAACTTAGACTATTATGCAGTTTCTTTTATAGATTAGTTCTTCTCTTCGCAGTATGAGTATAATTATTACCAATAAGGATGCATCTTATCCATTTGTTTTGATGGTTGAGTTTTCTATTACAGAATCTGAGGTCAAACCTGACAATGTGGAAGCTGGGTACCCTACCCCCTGCTTTGATTGCTTTTAGAGGTCAAGTTCATCCAATTGATCCTTCATGGCACATGCTTGGCTTGGGCTATCAGGAACGGACGGATATCGAAAATGTGAAGAATGCAGCAGTTATCCACTACAATGGGCAACTGAAGCCATGGTTGGAAATTGGGTTCGAGCATCTCCGTCCCTTCTGGACCAAGTATGTCAATTACTCCAATGATTTTATAAGAAACTGTCACATTGTGGAATCATAGACAATTGTCATAGAACTAACATCAGAAAGGAGATAAAAAAAAACCAAAAAAAAAAGAAGGTGATGAAAGAAAGATTTGGAGGGGGTCTGAACACAAAACATTTTAAAAGCTCAGCAGAAGAAGGCAAGCTTAATCAAATTGGTTGGACAGATGAGAAACATTCTCCTTGTTCAGAACTTGCCACCAATTGTTTTTACTACTATGGAGCGGTATCGATGATGGGCACTCGTCTCACATCAGATTCATTCTTTCAGTTTGTAGCAATAGAAATTCTTCCTTTTTTTTTTTTTGTTTTTAAATATTTTTTGGATTGCAAAAAGGGTACTGTTGTTCGATGTTCCTGCAGGGGTTTGAGTTTAATTCTCCTGGTTATTACAACTAAGTGGAATAGAGAAGAGGATATGAAATAGGTATTGATTGATGCCATTAGGTGCACAGAAGGCCTAGGACAGACAGCCCTACAGACAACATTTTTCCCGCCAGTTGCTTTTAATTTCTGCCATTCATCTGAGATTATTACCCCATGATATAGCCATTTTTTAGAAGTAGGTTTATGGACAATATTTGCTCCTACAGCTCCCATTCAATTGGGTTTTTCTTTTCCCCTTTCTTCTTTTTAGGTTCATATCTCTATTCGTTTTGTAATATTCACGATATACATTCCAAAATATGTGCAGAAAATTCATTTTTCCCCTCTTTTTTTGAGACTCATTACTACAAGTCCTATAATTTCTCATCTTTGTCCTTCTATTTTACTCCTTTGTATTTAATTGCTTTTCTTTTATCTCATGGTGTCATGTAGACATTGATTATTGACTGACACTATTCTTATAGAGGTAACCATTAATAATTATAATTGTTTAGTTTTGTGTAATTAAAAGAGCGAATTTATGAATTAGTGTTCGATCCAAAGTTAGTGTTAAATAATCTAATTAACTTCAATATTTAAGGTTTGTTAGTTAATTTAATTTTTTATTTTTTGGTTTTGAATTCTTACCCAAAAACTTTTTAATAAATTTAAAAGTTAGAGAGTAACTTTAATCTGTTGAGCGACGACCCTTTCATTCGGTATCGTAGGATCACTAAGACCGACTTTCTTCCTTGCTTGAGACGGGTGGGTCTTGCAGTCAAGCTCCCTTCTGCCTTTGCACTTGAGGGCCAATCTTCGAGGAAACCTTTGCACGCCTCCATTATCTTTTGGGAGGTTTACGCCCCATAGAAATTGTTTACCTGAGACTATCCCTGAGACTATCCCTTGGCCTGTAGGTCCTGACACAAGTTAGAATTCTAGCTCTTCTAGAGTTACTGATGGCTTTCTGAGGGCCTTCTTCGACCTCCACCTAAGATGCACAGAGCTTTCTGGGGGCCTTCTTTGCCCTCCACCTAAGTTGTGCAGGGTTTTCTGGGGCCTTCTTTGCAATCCTGCCAATCTCAAGGAACAGTGAATTTTCAAAACAATTTAGCTATAAAACAATAATAAAAGAACATTATGTAAAAAATATAATTTATGAGGTAAATTAAAAAGAAAAATCAGGCCTAATAATTAATGGTGATAATATTTATGGTTGAAAATTTACTTCGATTTTTTATTAAAAGATGAAATGTTTGAATTTATTGGGTTAAAAGTTAAGAAAAGAAAAAAATAAAAACAAATTGAGTTTTTCAAAATTTGAAAGGACCAAAAAGCAACTAATTTCTATAATTTAATATTTTCAAAATTTGGGTTAAAAATTGCAAATAATATTTTCTTCGTCTCGAACCATATCCACATGGGTTTGTTTGCCACGTGGTGGTTTCTCAAAACCAAGGCCTATAGTTTCTTGTCTTGTTCAAAGCAACGTCGTGGCATTTTTCATTTCTAGGATCTTCAAATGCGTTTTCGCGAGGGTTCCCGAAGAATCACCACCATTGCCCGACTCCTCCTCTTATACGCTTCTACTCCGGCTCTCCACTTCGGTTAACAAGAACAATTCTCTCTAAATTCCATTTCCCAATATTCTATTTCCGATTCTTTCTCCTCCACTTCCACTTCAATCCATTGCCCACTAGTTCGCTCGCTGTTGAGGCTAATCTTTACCAATGGCTTCCACCACTGCGCCATTTTATGCACTTGGGATTCGTTTTCCTTCACATTCCTCTTCCGTTTCTTCTTCCACTAGAAACGCGCTCATTCTCAAGCCTCCGCTTCCCGTTTCCCTCACTGCGAAACCTAAATCGCGCTTGCTGTTGAATACCAATGGTGGGTGTCACAGATTTGGGAGGAATTCGAGGTTTGTTGTTCGCTGTGATTCCTCAAATGGAAGGGTTAGTTCTTTTGTTTTCTTTGTTTGTTATTGCTATTACTCGTTTCTTGAAGTTCGATTTGATTATCTGTGACTTCCTCTTGTGGTGTTTAAATGGTTTGAACTTGTACTGATATCTGAATAATTTGGTTTTTCTTAAGCAAACGGATGTTTTTTATGCATTTTACTGATTTTGTTTGGTTTTACTTCAGATTACACAGCAAGAATTTACAGAAATGGCTTGGCAAGCTATTGTTTCTTCGCCAGAAATAGCAAAGGAAAACAAGCATCAAATTGTGGAGACTGAGCATCTGATGAAGACTCTACTGGAGCAGAAGAATGGGTTGGCTCGTCGGATATTTTCTAAGATTGGGGTTGACAATACCCGTCTTTTGGAGGCTACTGATCAATTCATCAAACGCCAACCTAAGGTAATTGCATCATGGAATCAAATTCTTATATGTGTATATGTATATTACCATCAGTCTTGGTCCTTTATGAACTTCTAACTTTTGGCTGTGAATTTTCACATGAATTTTAGTTGTTATATCCTAAAATATGTTAAACGAGTGTCTATTATACTGCACTAGGTTCTTGGTGAGTCAGCTGGTTCAATGTTGGGACGTGACTTGGAAGCACTGATCCAACGAGCCAGAGAATTCAAGAAAGAGTATGGGGACTCATTTGTGTCTGTGGAGCACTTGGTTCTTGGATTCGTTCAAGATCAACGTTTTGGGAAGCAATTGTTTAAGGATTTCCAAATATCATTGCCAACTTTGAAATCTGCAATCGAGTCCGTTAGGGGGCGCCAATCTGTTATTGACCAAGGTGACACCTTCTCTCTCTCTTTTAATGTATTTTGAATACTTTTATGTGGTCATGTTGCGGCACAAGTCAAATCTCTAGGCAATTTGTTGGACCTGATGTTTGATTTTGGTTGTGTTCTGTCTACATGCAACTATGTAAACCAATCTTCAATAATGTGCCATGAGGAAAACATCTAAAAATTGGTTGATGATTCTAGCTTACTAAAGCAATCAGTGAAGGAAAATGGATGGAGATGAGGGACCTTTTGTCCTCCGGCAATTAACATACATTAGAGCTTGTAGAAAATTAAACCACCTTGGTGTGCTTTTATTTTGGTTGAATACGTACTTGTTCTTTTTGTCTTGTTTGAATGTATACAGTGGCAAATTCGATAATATATGCTTCTCTATATCCGTTTCTCATTCATAATTTCAGTAGCATGTGCAGTTTGAAGCGTGTATTCCATTTTTAAGTAATCGTGATCTCTTGCAGACCCTGAAGGCAAGTATGAATCTCTTGAAAAATATGGAAAAGATCTGACAGCATTGGCTAAAGCTGGGAAGCTTGACCCTGTCATTGGAAGAGATGATGAAATTAGAAGGTGCATTCAGATTCTATCTAGAAGAACAAAGAACAATCCTGTGCTTATTGGTGAACCTGGTGTTGGTAAAACTGCTATTTCTGAAGGGTAAGTGCAGTATTTGGCCCTGTACAGAATTCTTTTTAATAATTAAGTCACTGTAAGATCCTGGCTTAGTCCTTTGGGAATATTATCTGCATGAAGGCAACCGCCGACTTGTTAGCATTGTTTTGATTTGTACTTGATCAAACGTGAAGACGTCAATACTGTCGAGAAGGCTAGACTTCTCATTTCTTGGTTGATATCGAAATGGGAATTGTGCTGCTTTAATTTTCTCTGTAGAGAATTTTTGTCAGCGTATGCTTTTGCTTGGGAAGTGGTTTGGCTTATATTTTCATTTTCCTAACGACTTTAGTACTTATATACTATTTTATTAAACAGGCTCGCTCAAAGAATTGTTCAAGGTGATGTACCTCAAGCTTTGATGAATAGGCGGGTATGTAAATGACCTTTTCCTGCTCTCTCTGTCTCTCTCACACATTTCTCCTTGATAAAAGATGCTGGTGTCCCTTTCATGGTTTTGTGATTACTTCTGTCCATCCCCTTTTGGGAGGTGTTTAAGGATTCACAGTTTACCACAATCTTAATAACTTGCTCTTTTCTTGTAGTTAATATCTCTTGACATGGGTGCTCTAATTGCTGGAGCAAAATATCGTGGAGAATTTGAGGATAGGCTCAAGGCTGTTCTGAAGGAAGTTACAGAATCGGATGGCCAGATTATCTTATTTATTGACGAAATTCACACTGTTGTTGGAGCAGGTAGCATATCCAATCTTAAATTTGGAAAACTGTAGCCTATTTTCACTGGTCACATGTTCTTGGCGGTGGTTTCCCAATATGGTGGAACTCTTGTTCGACTGATGAGTTGATGCATTGGTCTTTTACCTTAATAAGTTACTGGTGTGTCTCCACAGGTGCTACAAACGGTGCAATGGACGCTGGTAATCTGTTGAAGCCTATGCTTGGTAGGGGTGAGCTTCGGTGTATCGGTGCCACAACATTGGATGAGTATCGAAAGTACATTGAAAAGGATCCAGCATTGGAGCGTCGGTTTCAGCAAGTTTATGTTGATCAGCCAAGTGTGGAAAATACCGTTTCTATCCTCCGTGGGCTTCGTGAAAGATACGAGCTGCATCATGGAGTTCGCATATCTGACAGTGCTCTTGTAGAAGCTGCAATTCTTTCAGACCGTTATATTAGTGGACGATTTCTACCCGACAAAGGTAAATATCATTGTGACGAATGGAATTATTTGATGTGGTTGAAAATAGACATGCTTTATTGTAAAGAAAAACTTTTAGCGGAAGGATTTTGGAATATGCATGTCATGATGGTTGCTAATGGTATTTTTTTTGAAATACAGCCATTGACCTCGTTGATGAAGCTGCTGCTAAGCTAAAAATGGAAATTACTTCGAAACCGACTGCTCTTGATGAGATCAATAGGGCAGTACTGAAGCTCGAGATGGAGAGACTCTCTCTAACAAACGATACTGACAGAGCTTCTAGAGACAGGTTGAGTCGGCTTGAAGCCGAGTTGTCTCTCCTAAAGGAGAAACAAGCCCAGCTGACTGAGCAGTGGGAGCATGAAAAGTCCGTCATGACTCGCCTTCAGTCTATCAAAGAGGAGGTATGTTGGTGTTCTTAACTTTTGATGTTTCAAGAGGTAATATAATCTGGCCTAAACTAGCCACAGTGGTAACATCCTGTAGAAGTACAGGAGAATTTTTCGGTTCGGATTGTTATCTGCTCGGTAATTTTACATTCATTCTTGCAGATCGACCGGGTAAATGTGGAGATCCAGCAAGCTGAAAGGGAGTATGATCTTAACAGAGCGGCTGAATTGAAATATGGAAGCTTAAATTCCTTGCAGCGCCAGCTTGCAGATGCAGAAAAGGAATTAGATGAGTATATGAACTCTGGAAAGTCCATGTTGAGAGAAGAAGTGACCGGAAGTGATATTGCTGAAATTGTAAGCAAGTGGACTGGGATCCCTGTTTCTAAGCTTCAACAATCCGAGAGGGAGAAGCTTTTACATTTGGAGGAAGAACTTCATAAACGTGTCGTGGGTCAAGACCCAGCAGTTAAATCCGTTGCCGAAGCCATTCAAAGATCTCGGGCTGGTCTCTCCGATCCAAACCGTCCGATTGCTAGTTTCATGTTCATGGGTCCGACTGGTGTTGGAAAAACAGAACTAGCCAAGGCTCTTGCTTCTTATTTATTCAACACTGAAGAAGCCCTCGTGCGAATCGACATGAGCGAGTACATGGAGAAGCATGCAGTTTCAAGACTAATTGGAGCCCCACCTGGTTATGTAGGTTATGAGGAGGGCGGGCAGTTAACGGAGACTGTTCGCCGAAGGCCATATGCGGTTATTCTGTTCGATGAGATAGAGAAGGCTCATTCCGATGTGTTCAATGTGTTCCTTCAGATTCTGGACGACGGGCGAGTGACCGACTCGCAAGGACGAACTGTGAGCTTTACGAACACAGTTATCATCATGACTTCAAATGTGGGTTCACAGTATATTCTCAATACTGAAGATGATACACAACCAAAGGAAACAGCATATGAAACCATAAAGCGACGAGTTCTGGAAGCTGCAAGGTCAATCTTTCGTCCCGAGTTCATGAACAGAGTTGACGAATACATCGTTTTCCAACCTCTAGACCGCGATCAGCTCAACAGTATTGTTCGGTTACAGGTACCCTTTATATACCTCTTCGAATGATCAATACCCCTTTCGTAACGACTATCACGGATAGTCAAAATTCTCATGAATTAACCACACATTGTACTTTCTTACACAGCTGCAACGGGTTCAAAAGAGAGTTGCAGACAAGAAGATGAAGATCGAGGTGAGCGAAGCAGCAATTCTACTTCTCGGAAGTCTCGGGTACGACCCGAACTACGGTGCTAGACCAGTGAAGCGCGTAATACAGCAGAACGTGGAGAACGAAATCGCAAAGGGCATATTGAGAGGAGAATTCAAGGAGGAAGACACAATTGTAATAGACACAGAGGTATCGGCATTCTCTAATGGCCAACTTCCACAGCAAAAGCTTGTTTTCAGAAGAGTGGAGAACAAAGGCGCAGACAATCCAAACGCAGATAGCATACAAGCCTCTGCTCAGATTGTATGAACCAAATGCCGCTTTGTATTCACACACTTTCTATGTAGGGAATATACATAGCAAGATTAATGTTTTTTTTACCCTTTTTTTTTCACTCTCTATAAAGTTCACATAAGGTAATAATACCATGTAATTTGAGGCTGCTTTTACCTTAGGCCTTATATTTAACTGTCCAAGTTTAGTCTGTATGGTTATTATTATAATTATTTTTTTTTTAAAAAAATAATTATAAGATTTTTATTTATTATTTATTTTTACTATTTAAGGAAAAATAAAGAAGAAAAGAAAGGGAAAAGAGATCACACGTTGAGTGAGTCCATTAGCTTGTCGTTTTCGGAAAGTGACCGTCCAATTACCGGAATGCCACGTAAGACGGATAGAAATTTACATTTTCACAGCGTCCCAGCCATGGGTACACGTGGAGGTTTTTGATTGGTCGTTAAGTTTCCAATTGACTTAGCACTGTGGTTCTAAAATATTCCTCAGCCCTCGTCCTTTCCTTCTTCTCTAATTTAGACCCCAAAGCCAAAGCCTCTTCTTGTTCTTGTTCTTCTTCCTTCTTCTTCTTCCTTCTTCTTCTTCACCAAATCCCCCGTTCTATGTGAGCTTCAAATTCCCCTTTTCTTCTTCTTAGTGCTCGTTTTCATTTTCTTCTTTTCCTCTTCTTGTTTTTATCTTGTTTCTTTGTTCGGCTTTAGTGCAATGGGAACGAAATTGACTGATTTCTTGCTTCGTTTCTTGCATGCAGAGTCGGGTTTTTGGTGCTATGTTAAAGCGGGGAGACTGGGTCTGTTCCGCTGAGGTGAGTCTTTTTCTTTTTCTCAAGACGATCTACTTTGTTATCTGGTGTTGTGTGTTCGTTCTTCTTATGGATTTTGTAGGGTTTTATTTATTATTATTTTTTTGGAATTGAATGAGTAATTCTTTTGGGGTTTACTTGATTTAGGTGGTTGTTTTTTGTGATGTATGTTGCCGAGGATTTTGTGGATCTGACTCTAATTTACTAAACTTGCTTGAAGAATTCTGCTAGAGTTTGGGGTTTATGTGTTAATTGAGTATCTGCGCGTGCCTTGGAGTCTATGGTGAATGCTAATCCATTTCATTGTGTTTAAATTTACTTGTTCTTCTTGAATTGACTTGATTGATTAATCACTTCGATGTTTCGAGTCTCTGGTATTGGTTTTAGTTTCTTAACCATTGCTCGAGGCATCATGGGTGCATCATGGGTGTCTAAGGCTTCTTCGATGTATACAGTGTACAATAGTTCATTGGGGTGAAGATTGTTGATCGGAGCTTAGTTTTTCAACAGCTGCTCATTCAATCTAATCTATTGACAACCCATGCCAGATTAATTAATGGTTCCCAGATGCCCATGAAGGAATGATTTTAACAAAGCAATACCGGTGTGTGCATTCAGCGAGCTGCCTGTGCACAAAGGGGCATCTCAGTGAGGATGCAGTATTTCTAGTATTCCAATATTTGAACTGGAATCCGAAGTTGATTGCCACTCTTTCCTGTGCATGCAAATGGTTTGACGATCTTGCCAAGCGAGTGCTATGGAAGGAGTTTTGCAGGACCAGAGCCCCAAAAATGATGCTAGATCTGCAATCTAGCGGGAGTCACAGTGTTGATGGGAACTGGAGGGCACTGGGGAAGCTGCTTATTTTCTGCTCGGGATGTAAGAAGGGCGGTCTCTTCAATAACATTCAAATTCCTGGTCATTTTGTTTATAGAACCCGATTTTCTAGGACATCGGGCAAGAGTTTTCTTATGCCACAATGCAGAACAGATATTTTATATGTATCTGATCCTTGTGAACATCTCGACCAAGGGGAAGAAGGAGATATCGGTTTCTTCCGGGGTATTTTTAAGTCATTTTCAATGTCAAAGGTTAGGAAAATGCTGATAGAAAGAGGAGCAGAGCTTCATCCAACTGAGGTGTGCCCTTATTGTAAGGCCAAGCTATGGAGCATGCTACAGGCTAAAATGATACCACCGAGTGCAAGCTGCAGATTGGGTGCTTATGAGGATTGCATCGACTACTATGTCTGCCTCAATGGACATATGGTCGGTATTTGCACTCTGTTACCCTTGTCAGATTCTGAAGAGACGTCCGAGTTGGAGTGATAGCTACGTCATACACCATAGAAAAGGTAACATACCACATCTAACTTATGCATGTTTCTCTCTAGAATCTGGTATAGATTTGAAAGTTGAGCAACCAAAGCACCAAGTTTTTGAGTCAAATACTTGATTGTTTAAATTTTCCCTTTGTTTTTCCATCTGCAACCATGCTGAAGCAAATGTTGCTATGTTTCATTATGAATTGAATCGCAATTCCCAACCAACAACCTGATTTTCTAGAGAAGGGTGAGAATATTTTTGGTTTTATTGTGTAAGTGAGGGAAAGGGCCTGTTGTGACAGTTTGTTTTGCTGTAACTTGGAAGAAAAAACTTACTCTGATGGGATCGTTCAATTGGACTAATTATTTTTTTGCTTTTTTTGTTCTCTGAGTCCATAAATTTTTTTTTTTTCTGGGAGCTATTGAATCTGAGAGCCATTGTTCTTGAACAGATCGATCAATAGGCCTGCACAATCACCCTTGGATCTCATGCTGATTGGATGAACTTTGCCTCTAGTCCGTTCCACTTTTGTTTGGTGGAACCCAGCTTAGAATTCTGGGAAAATGTTCAATGGTGAAGACTTGGAAGCATTAGCAGAATCAGATTTTTTGTAAAAAAAAAAAAAACATCCTTTTGGATTGAAAGGTAGAACCATATAATTTTCATGTAAATTAACCTCTGATCTTATACTTGATATTGGTGATGGTGACTGGAATGATTATTGTTATTATTTAAGATAATGGATTGCTTTATATGTTCTGAACTCTTAGAAATCTCCTTGTGAAATGGATATGACCTAGCTGAAGCTTCCATCCTTAACACTTGATCATCCCCTTCACACACTAAAATTGAATTACTTGGCTTGCAATGTCTGTAAACTTGTTAGGCACAAGTCTTCGATGGTTGGTTCCATCACTCTCCTTGTTGCTCCTCTGATGCTCATTGGCCCAATGTTAGCTACCGGCACGCTTGAAAACTGTTCTATGGAAGTTTTACCTCTGATGCTGAGCTGAGAGGACAGGAGCAAAAGGGGGCAAGCATATCCTTCCTCTAGTTATGGAAGTTGCTTGAACGTATTGCTCTTGTTTGCTATAATCGACATAACCCTCCATATCGAGCTTGCTTCAATACCTTTCAACCATCTCAGCCATCCTACAACCCAATTCTCCTTGTTCAAACCAAGCGTCAATGGTAGAATTTATGTTTCCAGTTATGTTGTTTCCCTTTTGAATCTACTTGATACGAACCAAGAACCAAGGGGTCTCAATCATACGATATGATCCATTTTGTGTAAGGAATCCTCCTTGTTTTGTCCTTGTTTGAACATAGCTTCAAATTCAGTGTGATAAAAAGACTTGATATTGTGTTATTTACCAGCGCAAGCAGATAGTGGTTCACCAAATCGCAGAGAATCACCCAACTATGCGTGATGATTTTGTATGGGCTATAATAGAGATGATGTAAGAAGACCAAAGGGACCATTGGAGAGGGTTTTGTTTTTCTTCCCATTTTTGCACCAGAGAAGGAATTCTTACAGAGTTTACTACAGCAATCTCTGGTGAGAAGCAGAGAAAGGCATTGTTTCGTTTCCAGCCCATAAATTGAGTCAAGCATGCATTCTCAACCAATTAAAAACAGGTGCAAAAAGACCTATGAACATGACCATTTGCCAACAGTTGGATGTGGTCTTAGTTTTAGCCAAAACTTGTCACCAAACAAAACATCTAAGTTGTGATATGCAATAAACCAGTTCTGGTTCGGTTCGATTTCGTTTTTACCGATCAGCAACCAAAGACACCGATGAGAGCAAGAGAAAGAGGTTGGCGGTGGTATATGTAAATAAGAAACTAAACATCTAAATTGAATAGAGAAGGATGAACCAACAAAATCAAGGTCGAATATCTTTCAACACTCAATGACATGGTACATGAAGTCATCACTATTCTTAGTTTTATTCTCACAAGACCAACCAGGCTTAGCTTATATCATATGGTAGTTTCTCTGTAAAGGGGCAATACCCAAAAAAAAGAAAAAATAAAAAATAAAAACAAGAAACAGAGATGCATAAAGCACACAAGTTATTAATGCACAATTTGACTCACAATCCTGTGATTTCACCACCTTCTGTTCATTCCCAAATGTATTCTTCCATCACTATACAAATTCTACTGAGTTATACGAAATCTACCTTTTCAGTTCAAGCTGTGGCTCTTAGAGGAGAAGGCTTCTTGTCTTGGAGTGAGATAACCTTTTCAAATGCCCCTACCAATGCCTTGACCTTACTCTTTCGGGTTCGAACGAGTTTTCTCGCAGTTTCCGCTATGACATTATTGAACAAGACCTGAGTATCTTTCTTCCCTTCCACATCTTGATGTCTCAAAACTACTTTTTCAGATGGTGGTGTGGAGTTCTTGGAAATCCCCTTGACTATTCCCTTCTTCAAGCTTGTTCTTCGGCCATCCTTGCTCTTTTGGTTGTCCCCCAACGATTTTACTTCCATAAATTTGAGCCTCGTTGGACCATGCCTTTTGGAATCAAGGTCAATTACCTTCTTGTTCCTGAAACTTAAGCTGAAAGATGAAGAATCCTTTCCTTTGGTCTGAAGCATTCTCGGGGACTTGCCTTTTTTAACCCCATTGGGATCATCTTCTTTTTTTATGCCACCGTGTTTCTTCGATCCCGAAACAGTGGCATTCGCTTCGTATTTTGTATATTTAGTTCCACCAGAATCTTCTCTAAGAGGTGAAAGAGATGGGCCATTTGCCAAGGATGTTGGTGACTTTTGATACCCCTTCAAACCATGCTTGTCATTTTGGTCAGATTCAACAAGCTTGGTCTTCTTAGTTTCCACATTGATGACATGCAAGATTTTCTCTTGTGATTCCACACTTGATGCTTCCTTGGCTTGAGCTCTTCTCGTTTTGTTCTGACTTTTGACTTGAGACACAACTTTCGAGTTCTTGTTCTTTATCGCAGGTAAGTTTACCACGGTATCGACAGAATTTGGATCCGTTGTGATTATGGACTTTTCCACCACTTTTGTTCCATTTCCTTTCAAGGTTCCCGCTCCTTCACATGATTTAGAATTGTTGTTGCTGTGGGCTGCAATATTACCAGAAGGACCAGAAGAGGTCACTGATTTTGCTTTCAAAGCTTTTGGCTTCGACAAACTGTCGCCCCCTGCTTCTGCAACACTGGCCAAAGCCTGTTTTGGAGAACTTTCAGATTTGGTAGACGAATAAACTACTTGCTTTGTAGTTTTATGAAACTTGGGTTTTGAGGTTATGGGCTTAGTTTTTGTCTTGGCCACCTGTTCCTTACCTTCATTCATAGCTTCACTCTTTAATGGACTTCGCCTGTTTGAACCTTGCCTGCTAAGAGAACTTTCAGCCACTACTACCGGTTCCTTAATTTCGCTTCTAACTCCAATCTCTACTCGACTTCGCCCGCTAGGAGAAGTTTCAGGCACTACCCGTTCCATATTTTTGCTCGTAGCTTCAATCTCTACTGAGCTGTGCCTGCTAGTAGAATTTTCAGGCACTACTCGTTCGCTACTTTCACTCGAAACTTCCATCTCTACTGGACTTTGCCTGGTAGGAGAGTTCACAGGCACTACCAGTTCCTGACTTTCACTTATAACTTCAATCTGCCTGGTAGGAGAATTCAAAGGCACTACCAGTTCCTTACTTTCACTTATAACTTCAATCTGCCTGGTAGGAGAATTCAAAGGCACTGCCAGTTCCTTACTTTCACTTATAACTTCAATCTGCCTGGTAGGAGAATTCACAGGCACTATCAGTTCCTTACTTTCACTTATGACTTCAATCCGCTTGGTAGGAGAATTCACAGGCAGTACCATTATAACTTCAATCTTCTTGGAAGGAGAATTCATAGGCACTACCAGTGCCTTGTTTTCACTTATAACTTCAATCTGCTTGGTAGGAGAACCCACAGGCACCTCCGGTTCCTTACTTTCGCTCGTAACTTCAGTCTCACTTTGCCCATTAGGAGCTTTTACAAGCGTTGCCTGTTCCTTACTTTTGCTTGTAACTTCAGTCTCACTTTGCCTGTTAGGAGCTTTTACAAGCGTTGCCTGTTCCTTACTTTTGCTTGTAACTTCAGTCTCACTTTGCCTGTTAGGAGCTTTTACAAGCGTTGCCTGTTCCTTACTTTTGCTCGTAACTCCAGTCTCTACCGGACGTCTGCTAGGAGAACTTATGGGCACTACCCGTTTAATCACATCAGTGCCACCACTAATACATGTCCCCGAACTAGGTGAAACCTTCGACTTGGTCACACGAACAGAATGCTTTTTTTCAGGCACAACCACAGCCTGGTCTGAATTTTGGGCATCAAGTGCCTTTTTCATTGCTCTTTTCAACAGGGGAACTCTGGCCTTCGTCTCTAATGAATGATTATGCCCATATTTGCAAATATCATGACAAGAACCAATTGAGGATCTGCGGTCACGAAAATTGTTTTGTTCATCAATACTCAATGAGATTGCTTTTCCCATTGATAATCTTCTCAACCTATCACCATCAGATCTGTGGGTCTCAGGGGACATTGACAAATCCATACTCCCATCAACCATTTAACAGCACAATTTGAGAGCACTACCTGAAGATCAAACAAAAAGAAAAACTCAATAACTTCAAGAGCTTACAGGCAAGTTTGTAGATGCCTAGTGAACCAACAAAAAATCAAAGAAAATACTCTCTACCTTTCTAATGCAAATCACATTGATTTTACAAGCTAATTAGACTTCTTACATGAATGAGAATTTTAAAGAAAGGAGGATAAAGATCACATCTCTATGATTGTTCTATAAAGTTTATCGACTGAGAAATCTTCCACAATAAGGTCAATCAAACATGGAGTCTTTTCAAAAAGAAAAAAAAGAAAAAAATATCAACGTAGTTTCGTAAATGCTTAGCATATCGACTACTTGAAGATGAGCGTAGATCCAAAAAGAAGTTTATCAAGCATGATTAAAATATATGGAAACCACAAAATCCACGAAGATTAATGAAAATTAAAGTATTGATTTCCCAAACATCTAGACAATGATATGTTTTTGCTTGATGGCCCTACTAATAAATGCCAGATTTGAACCAAAACATATCACTTTAATGGAACAATGGAGTAGATCTGCTGAAGGGAGACATTGTGCATGGTATTATGATGGTGAAGGATGAGACCAAGGACTTCTCAAACACTCATAAGCATTCATTAGATGCAAATCAACTGGACGTAATAGATTATAGTATTGTGATGAACGAATCAAGTGCTTCTCTCTAAAAAAGTACTTTAAACTTGAAAAGTACTTTTACTAGTTAAAAGCACCGTTTGTCTCCTGCAGGTAAAAATGAAGTGATGATTCTATACAGTTTTTCCTAAATGAAGATCAAAGAAGAAACACAACAAGCACATCGATCTTGAAGATAATGGAACGAATCATGAGGGAGTTGATTAACAAGCAAGTATCAATCATTTCAACTCACTAATTCCAATCACAGTTCATGGAATCAAAGCAACCATTCCAATAATCCGATACCAATCAGAGCATCAACAGAAACATCCATTTCCGAAATCGCTATTGAATGCACCATTTGCTAATCCAAACACACACAAAGAAAAAGAAGAGAAACAAATACATACCGCTTCCGATTCTTCTCCGCGATGCTAACAAGTCTCCGTTGCTTAACAAGAAAGCAAAGAAACACGAAACGAACACGATACGATTCAGCCCGATCAAATTGAAAGAGATCGAAGAAAGAACCTGTGTCCGATCAAAACCAAGCAAAATCAAAACGTAGAAGAAGGATTGATTCGAGTCCAAAGATCGTGCAAGCAACTGAACAATTCAAGTTCTGTTGAGAATTTTTTTTTGCTTTTTGTCTCAATCAAATCAACTCAGCGTCTTCGTTTTCCGAGGACCCACAGAGATCGTTGAAGCTTTTTTTTTCTTTTGAGGAATTAAATTTTTGATTCAATGAATGAATTTAATTCATAAATGAATGATTTAATGAGGGTGATCCGCGTGATATCCAGAACAGTCTTTTTCCATCTCATTTCTCAATTATTTATATTAATTTATTAGGTTTCTCAAACGGTTTATGCAAGTAAATAAAGTACCAATATTTATCTTTTTTTTTCTTTTTCATTTTAAATATTTTAAATAAATATTTATTTAATCTTCATATAGATCAGCTGTTTCCATAATTAAATTTAATTGTTTTATTTCATGTCTAATATATTTTAAATAAACAAAATTTTACTATTTTTTGCAATTCTTTTTTAACGATGTTTAATATATATTTTTAAATTTTAAATTTTAAAGATTAAATAGTTATGAATTTAAAAATTCAAACAAATTAACAAAAATCAATATATGGTAATTTTACACAAAACTGGATTTTAAAATTGGTAGATTTAAAATTAAAAATTCTACTATTTTTTTATAATTATTTATTTATTTTCCATAAATTAATAGATTTATTTAAAAGTTTCTAGATTTCAATGTCTAACTAAATACAAGTGAAATTCTGACATTCAACTTAAATTATTTAAATTGATCATTAAATAGTATTTATTATTTATTTAAAAGTCTTTGCTACCATTAATAGTTTTTTAAAACAAAAAATACTTTTTTTTTTCTATTTAAGAATTTCAATTTAGTATAATAATATTTTAATGGGTCCATTTTCTACGGCTGATATGACTTTTGAGCAATAAAAAAAAAATTTCCCATTAAAATGATTTTTTAAATTTTAATATCAAAAGACATTTTGAAAATTTTAAAAAAATAATAATAAACAAGTATATTGATTTACTTTTAAAAATTAAAAAAATAAATTCAGATAATAATTTTAAATTAAGTTAAAAAATTTTAAATATTATAATTTAGTCTCTATATCAAAAAAAATAAAATAATAATAGTTATAGACTTATAATTATAGAAATAATCATAATTGAAATAATTTTTATTATTGATAAAATATTATTATCAATTTCCCAATAATATATACAAATTAGAAATTTTGTTTCTCTCCTCTCTATTTTATATATTTTTTTTTATTTGTGAAACCTTTGAAAAAATATTCTATTTACTTTATTTTCTCAAATTTGCAGCAATATAATAATAAATTTATTATCCAATAATAAAATTTGTTCATAAATAACAATAATAGCTGGCTTCATTTCTAAACTTTAAAATGTGATTAGGCGTAACATCAATTTAATTAACGTTGTTAACTAAATAATGACATCACGAGTATATTATATAATGTACGACACAAGAAATTAGTTAGAAAAAAATAAAATAACGGTTGAATGTACCTTATATTTAAGCATTCCATGTCAACTTAAGCACATAGTTCAACTCCATAAAGTATATACCTTCGATCGCGAGGTCTATGCATCAACTTAAGCATTGCTTAGCTCAATAAAATATATACCTTCGACCACGAGATCCCATATGTCAACCTAAACGTAGCTCAGCTGCATAAAATATATACGTCTGATCATGAGATCCTATATATTAGCCTTAAGTGCAGCTCAAATCCATAAAATATATGCTTTCGATCACAAGATCTCGTACATGAGGTACATCAGAGGTTCGAGTCTCTCAAACTCTATATAATATTACATATCTAACCTCTTTTATAGACCATGTCGGGAATAGGTAGAGATTTCATTTTCACGTACCCACTTTCAAATGTGAAGTTTGAATATCTTGGCTTGTATTTGTATATTTTCGCCGGTTTGTTTGTACCTACTTCTCAAACAACCCTTACCTAATAGACCAACCCTACCTTCATCTCCATTCCATTTTTTTCCTTATTTTTTTTATTTTTTTTTATTTACTGAAATGAAATATAAAATATTTTCATAAAAGGAAAATATTTATTAGTTATTCTTACATCTTTTTAATACATTGTATATACAATTTCAAATTAAAAAAAAAAAGTAATCTATTTATATTACACACGAAAATGTAAATAGTGGACATCTATGGCTCGACTAGTTAAAATTTTGTACTCTCGACTGAAAGTTTCAATTTGGTCCTTATATAGAGCGTTTTGATATACTTTTAAACGCTTTGATCTAGTCCTTGTTTATATAAAACATGGGCATCATATAATTACTCCAATCCTCTGTACAAGCAGTGAAACAAGGACATGAGCTTCTTTATAGCCTTGTCCATACAGCAGCACCTATTTTCCAGATATCTATAGCACAATGCCAGTGAATGTGGCACACAAAAGCCACAAGAGGACACCAGAAATTACCAAGTTCAACTTGTACGCCCTTACACAAGAAGAGTTTTTAGGGAAAGAAAATGGGACACTAAGCCAAAACAAAACTTATTTTACCTGGGTCTGCAAGGATCATCCGTGATCGCAGGAGAGCGACATTGAATCTGAACAATCCTGCTGAAATATCGGCAAATTGGGACGGGAAGCGGGAAGCGGGAAGCTAACGTGTTGACTAGCTAAGATATGAAGTCGGCTATCTTGATGGCTGTGGCTGGTTTGTAGAAGTAAAAGTCCTGGAGTGATGGCCTCCACCAGACACAATTCAGGCTGACTTGTGGTACGCACCTTAAGTGATGATCTCCCTCATCAGCCAATCCAGACTGGGGTATGCAAAATACAATATGAGAAACGACGGGAGAGCGAAAAGGACGGTGACTAATATGTACAGAGCCAAGATTGCTGCACTGGCAGGCACGGCGTATAGGATGATGAGGAGGAAGATGATCACCAATGGAAATTTAGCTGTCAAGTGAACGAAGAACACGAGCAATTTGCAGAGAGATGATTTCAGTCTCTCCAGATTAAAGCTATGGGCATGGCTATTGGCGTTGTTTGGTCGTTGTGGATCTAATTGACGAACATGGTGTCCCCTCCTAAGGTTACTGTGACCGACTTGATTACTCCTTGAATTTCCGCTCACGGGGAAGACTAGTTGATCCCCAGAGAAATCAGAACGAGATTTCACCCTTTCGCCATTCATGTTCTCAACCATCCACAAAAGGAAGTAATTCTTGCAAGGGAATTTGAGGTTTCCTTTATAAACTAGGCGGAAGGATAGGAGGTTGCACCATGGGCAGGATATGAAAAGCGGAAGCTGAACGGGTAATGTCGGGAACTTCACCACAGCCCACTGCAATCCCAAGATGCAATTCTTGCATAGAGTATGGCCACACCATAAAACATGGGGCACATTCTCAACAATGTTGAAGGATTCCCAGCATATTGGACACTCTAGCACCTCCTCCCTACCATCTGAAGATACCTCATCATCAGAACACTCTGTGGCGGTATGAGTCAGTTTTTGGGAGCTGCTCTTTAGTCCAGTACATCCAGCCACACAATTGGAAGCAAAATTCCACATTCTAACAACACACAGCTACGGGTCAGAAACGACCACCTGCAATAGTAGCTGAAGTTGCAGTTTACCAAGGCATATTAGCAATTAACTTCATGCCAAATGAGTCAATTATGCTTTATCTAAGAGTTGAGTCTTAAAGGAAAAAGGAAAAATGGGGAAAAAATCAACTAAATCAACAAGGACTGTACCTGACATCACGAGACAAGGTACATAGATATCATATGTACCATTAATTTGAGTCGAACAATGTATAATATTCGAGAAAGTTGGATTAATTTCATCAATAGTGAATGATGGATGAATGCTTGACTAAGATTGTAGGAAAATCATGTAACAAGGAACAGGTGCAACGCTATGGAGGAAAAGCGTGTAAAGAATCAAACTTCTTTTTTTCTAATTTACACGAGTAACAAATATAAAGTAGAGAAATAGAACTTAGAAAACAGTCTTAAGAAGGACCTCGAAAGATTTCCCTACCTGTCCTCACTGTTTTCAAAAGGACGCCTATGTGTTTCACAGAAAAACCCACACTGGAAGCCTGGCTTTCAAATAAGACTGCTTGAGGCGCTCTCGCCTCGGTGCTAGAGATGGGCAGGAAATATTCTGAAAGAGTATTCAGTTTTCTCCGCAATCTCTAACAAAAACTCTTAATTTTTAAAGTTTCCATTATCAACTTATTTATAATACTATACTCAGCCTAATATAATATAAGGAAACCTGTAAATCCACAAAAGAGACGGGTTACCTCTAGAGGACCAAAAACATTAAGGCACCCCGCTCGATAACCATTTAGGTTTTGATTTTTTATTTTTGGTTTATGAAAATTAAGCCTATAAATGCTACTTTCCCGGGTTTTCTTGTCTTGTTATCTACCTTCCAAATTTTGATAACTAAAAAAATAGTTAACAAAAACTTGTTTTTGTTGTTGGAATTTAGCTAAGAACTCAAATATTTTCTTAAGAAAGATGAATCCATGATAAAGAAATGAAAAGAAAACAAGAACAATTTTCAAGAACCAAATGGTTAACAAATGGGGCCTTAATTTTTTAGTATTAGAGTTATAAATACCACTTTCACACATGAGCTTTTTTGTTCGTTATCTACTTTTAAACGTATTTTCAAAACTCAAGCAAAGTTCTTAAAACTAAAAAAGTAGCTTAAATTTTGACTATGAATTCAAAACTTTCCTCTAACAGAGGTGAAAGAAAACCATAGAGGAAACAAGCACACAATGTTCAGAAACAGAAAACTAAAAACAAAATTGTTATCAAACAAGGCCTAAATAAACCATAGATGCAGCAAGAAAATGGCAAAATAGGTTGAGAAACAACGCCCTAGAGACGATCGATTGGAGGCCAAGTACTATACAATTGGCCTCATCGGATATAAAATTAACCTAAACGCGTTAACATTACATTACAAATATCCATTAGTTGCATAAACCGCACAAAAGAATTCAAATCAAATCCCCTAAAAAAGGCAGAACAATAAGAACAAACACGCAAAGAACAAAAAAAAATCCCTAAAATCCTCGCAGAAACCGCAAGATTACTGAAAATACACAACAAATTCACCAGGTGAAAATCGAAGAACAACATTGCAGAAACAGAAAAGGCACAAAAACATCAAAAGATCGACGAAATTAGAACCAAAATCAATCAATCAATCAAAAAAAAAAAAAAAAAAAGCTCCAGAAAGAAAGGATGAGGCGATCTTACCCCTAACAAATCCCTCACGCCGTGTGAGGGATGAAGAAGAGAAGCTTGAATCGGGATTATTCAGTTGACTTGAACTCCGGTTAGGATTACGGGACGATATTTTTCAGTTGGGAAAGGGCAAAAGCTTAAACGAAAATGGAGCTTGGCGGTGTGTTGTTGTGGACCTTCTTTTGCTGCTCATCACTCATCCATGTGGAACCAGATCTGAGAGTTCTTTCAATGTCACGAGACTTGCACGTGATCCCTCAAATTTTCTTTTTAAAAGTTTGTGTAATAAATTTAATCATTTTTTTCGATAATTATTCGACTAAATAAAAAGATTAAAGATTTATTTATTAACCACAAATTAATTTTGTATGTAATTGAATTTTTTAATATTTTATTGTCGTTTTTGGCACAATTTGTTAATTACTAACGAGTAATTAATCCTAATTTGTTGAAATTAATCACGAATTCACTAATGTAATGTTAAATTAATTAGCTTAATAAACTAATGAGAGCTTAATTAAGCCTTTTATTTTCTAATTATTTTTTGTATGCATCATTTTATAATTTCTTTTTATATTATTTTATTATAATTCATCATTATTATATAAGGTTTAAAATTGAATATTCCTAAGTTCATTCTATTTTCAAATTATTTTTTGTCATGCTTTTCTAGTGTAATGGTCCAAGTTCACAGTTAGCAGATATTGTCTTCTTTGTGTTTTTTCTTTCGGTCTTCCCCTCAAGGCTTTAAAACGCGTCTGCTAGGGAAAGGTTTCCACACTCTTATAAAAGGATGTTTCGTTCTCCTCCCCAATTAATGTGGGATATCATATCTTGTGTTAATCACGTTAGAAATGGCTCTAGAATAATCCAAAATAGTAGAACGAAGCTAAAAAAAAAGCGATCCAAGCCATTTAAGTCAATCAGAGCCGCCACGAGCAGATAGAAACCCAACGAGCTGCAACAGCCCAAGCCCTCCGCTAACATATACGTGAGACCCCACATCAGTTGGAGAGAAGAAAAAGCATTTTTTTTTATAAGGGTATGGAAACTTCTCCTAGCATACGTGTTTTAGAATGAAACCCAAAAGGAACAGTAGAAAGAAAAAAAAAAAAACATGATATGAACCACGACCAAGGAATTTCCATACCTCAAGGTCCAATTACAAGGACCAGAGCCAAGAAGCTACAACAAACCTTATACAGTTATATTCAAGCTATGGTGAGCTTATCAAAGGAAATTCTAGAAGACGCTGGAGACCTCCGTTATATGTTGTGCAAAGTTGAGCTTCAAGAAAAAGATGAATTAAATGCACTTTAAGTTGCATTTAATGAACTCTGCTGAATTTATGAAATTAGTCTAAGGACGAGTCAATAAACACATTTTATTAATTGTATTATTTAATTATAGTTTAACTCTTTGTTTGTCATATTTAAGCTAGTTTTAAATATAGGAGTTAAGGTATATTGTTACCCACATAAGTTACTATATTCCACCATTCACTACCATTAACTGACCATTTTAATATGGAGGTTAGGAGTATTTTTCATTTACTAGCCCATTTAATTTGGGAGTTATGTATTAGTGGGTTAAGGTTGTAAGGACTATATAAAGCATTCTTTTCTTTCATTAGACATCAGATTTTGAAATTAAGAATAAAATTTCTATTTTAGCTTTGTTGAGAGCTAAACTTGCATGTAGAGTCATTCAAGTAGTATTGATCAAACCTCTTGTGGAGTGATTCGAATCACGAGTTTAGAAACGAGTTTTCTTTACTCTTGATCTTGATCATCAAGGTAATCGGTTCCAAACTTTCCCTTGAGTTGATTTCCATATCATAACATCTACTAGAGGTGGGTTTGAGCTGTTACCCGAGCCAACTGAAGCCAAACCTAACTAAAAAAATCGACCCAGTACTCCAAAATCACTCTCGTTTAGATATGATCTCGATTCAAGAAGATTTGTATATATATATATATATATACACGTACAAGATTGGGTATGATTTCCAAAATCAACAAGGAAAAAGCAAAAAGGAGGGCTCTAAAGCAACCTTTCCATGAACAAACTTGACTTGGTGAAGCTTTTTATGGCACCAAATCAGTTGGCTCTCTGTTAATCTTGACATACTCACCACTCTTGATATCAATCTCAGCTCAACCTCTGCTATCAACAATTCATCCCTCGCTATCCCTTCTTCACTCATCCTTTGCAGCTTCTTCACTATACAATTCCCACTTCTCATCATGTCTTTTAGCCGTTTCTCCTTCTAAATTTCATGTAATTTCAAGATCAAAACTCACAAACAACGAAAAGGGTTGTTTTTTTTATCAGAAAACCCAGAAAAAAAATACCTTTTTTAGATCAGTTCTTACTTGGATCATCATGAGTTCTGCATCAAACGGGTTTTGGGTATCAATCCGATGAACATGTTCTTGAGGAAACACGAACTTGATAGCTGAATTCCCAATGTCCTTGTCCGATTGAAGCAATTCACGAAAAACCCTTATTGAATCTTCAATGATTGATACTAAATCTGCTGTTGAAATGGTACTTAGATTCTTGTTATTTACACAATCCTCTGCAAGTGAGTTGGGTAAGTAATGGAAAGCTTCAAGATTTCAGGGTAATTTGATAATGTACTCATAAACCCACCTCTAATGGCAGGAACTTGAAGAAGATTACGAACGAGACGTCGATTTTTCGCGTAGTTTTCGATTCGAGGACCGTTAAACGGCTCGTCCTCGATGAATCTTTGAATGAGAATGCAGAAGAGTTGAAACTCGTTTACAACTTGACTGAATTGAGAGTCGTTTTGTTGCAATTGTTTGGCTTTTCTATGCTGCCATTGAAGAAGCTCCCAAGACAGACAAAGATGTCCGACATAGACCATTTCCATGTCTCTTTTGATGTCTTTGATCAGTTTTAGACAGCCCTTGTCTGCTCTCCCTGGCCTTAACATGTCGGAAAACAGAGATTTTAGGCTAGATTTCCTTCCATCATTTGGAAAAACTGGATCTTTCAGCTTAACAAACCCTGCAACAAAGTAATCAAATTAGTCCCCTCGAACAAAGTACATCATAGAACCTCTCCTGAGGTCTATGTAGCCCTTGAATAGCTTTCTCTTAATCGAGACTCAGCTCCTTTCTCTGAAGCCTTCGAACAAAGTACACCCTTTGTTCGAAACATGAGTCACTTTTGACTACACATTCGAGTCTAGCAAATTCTTTGTTCGACACTTGAGGATTCTATTAACATGGCTAAATTAAGGGCATGACTCTGATACAGTGTTAGGAATCACAACTCTCCACAATAGTATGATATTGTCCACTTTAAATTCTCGTGGCTTTACTTTGGGCTTCCCCAAAAATTCTCGTACCGATGGAAATATATTTCTTATTTATAAACTCACGATCGTTCCCTAAATTAGCTAACGTGGAACTCCCTCTCAATAATCCTCAACAAAGACCGACTTACCGATGGCATAATTCGTTTGAGTATTGAAGATGTCGAGCTTTCGCATTTTGTCTGTATAAGTCTTGTAGAGCCCATGAATCTCTTTGAAATGTTCTTTTTGTTCGAAATTTCCACCATTTTTTAGAGGTTTTAAAGCCATGGGGCGCATGGATTCTGGCTCTGGCTCTGTTTCTTCTTCTAGAACAGTTGGAAGCCGTCCTGTTCTTGAGTGTCTTAGCTCAATTTTGAGCTGGTTGATCAAATCTTGATGCTCGATCTCGTCCGATTCTGTTTCTTTTGATTCCTCT